TTTAAATCCTCTGTGAGGCACTTGCACGCTTGATGCTCTGTGAGCTCCCTTGCACGCTTGTGTATTTCCTTTTAAATTAGAATTCCTTTAATTTTCTTCTCTTTTTGATTTTTTCATTATTACTTTGCATATCTGCTGTTGTAAATAGCATAATTGAACATAGAGTTGTTGGAATTTTTTCTGATATATTTGATAAATTTAAGATTTTGCATTTGCCGTACTTGATAAGCTAGTAACTTTTTTAGTTTTTACTTTTATTTGAAGATCCAACGCACATCAGATGACCTTTCGACTTTATGGGAAGGTGTAGTTAAAGACAAAAATGCGCTGCATTTTTGGAGTGTTATGAAAAGATATAGTGATGATTTAACTCTTTATAAAATACAAGGTATCTTTTTTATTTTATTTTAATCAAAGTCAGATGGAATGTTAAAATCCTTGTCAACATCTATTAAAACGTATTTTAGCTTCGGACTCTGTTCATGAGATGGCTTCACCCTCTTCTCCTACTCTTATAAGACCTTCGGTATCAACAAATTCAACCAGATCAACAAAGGAGGTATCACCAAATGATATGATTTTTCACAGAATCTCAAATGTAAATGATGTTTTTGAGAAGTATCGAAAAATTGTATGTATATTCACATATTTACTTTTCAATTTATCGTCCAATATTAATGTATTATTAATTTTATAATTAAATTCAGAATGAAAATGCTGAAACTTGGACAATTGGGGGAGTTCCTATTGAGATTGAAGAAACAATATCGAATATAATAGAAATCAAAAATCTTGAAAAGATGTCTTTTGATAATCCTTTTCTTTCCTTCATCATTGACCTTGATCGTCCTTGTTCCTTTATCAGTAAGATTTTCATGGAACGTGAGCTTAAAATTGCCATTGAAGTTGAATTTGAATATTTCAGTGATGCAACCCACAACTACATAAAATCGCTAATCAAAAATGAAGTTAATAATGATATAATTTGTGAAGATAAAGATTACATTGATAAGGTTTACGAGCACCTGTAAGTGTTTAGAAGTTTTTGTAAAAGTTTTTTAAAATAAATATATACAAATAGTCATTCAAATTGCAGGCAAGATATCTGGAGACGTCAAAGATATGATCATAAGAGTAAAGGAGATGGTTCAATTAATGAGGCAACATTCTTATACAATGTCATGCATCGTATACTACACCTAACAGTTGAAGGAGAAAAGCTCATGAAATTAGATTGGTTTGTGATTTTGAGTTTTTGAATTATTAATAATTAATTCGACTAATTGATTACTTTCATTAATTTAGGCAAAACAAATTGGCAATTGAAGGGAATCTTAATCATGCTAATTTTGATGACTATGATTTATGGTTTTTGAAACAGACAAAATCGTTTCAAACCACCATCAAAAACGCACGCAAACTGCCAGATTGTATGGGAACATTCACTCTTCATAACAAAGACTATGAGTTCTTATATTTGGAGTGTGTAGGACCGCCCTTTGACTGCAAGACAACGAAAATTGAAAAAGATAGAAGGAAAATCATTCGTTATTTACATCATAACTATGAATCAAGAATTAGGAAATTTAATTCTGAATTTCCTTCAATATTTGATGAACATATTGTGGATAAATTGAATAAAATTCCACTACTTGGTTTCCTTGTTTATGGTGACTATCAATTATATTTCAGTAATATTTTTATTATTAATCTTTAATTTCTCACTAATTTGTATAATAGAAACATCGATTAAACTCTTGTTATATGATAAAGTCAATCACGAGACACAAAAATTTGCACGAATAAGAAGGGTTTTTGATATTTGTATACCTGTTGAGTCTTATAGTAATGAAGATGATGTATTCAACTTTATTTGTGGATTATTAATTTTTAAAAGGTTGATTAAAAGCGTGTACGATGACTTTGATTACATTTCAAAACATATAAGGGCAGAACGTAATGTTTTTAGAAGAAAGGTTAATACTACAATGGAGGAGGAGGATACAAGTTTGATTTTTTTAACACCGATTAAAAGAAAGATCTCTTAAGTTTTTAATACTATCTTTTGAATAAAACGGTAACTAGAGTTACATTTTCTAAAATCCCCACATTATAATATCATTATGAAAACACATGCTGTAAACCGAATGATTAATTTAGCGGGAGAGCCAGCTTAACGAATACATTTATGTGATTGAGAAATAAACACATTTTTTTGTACCAAAGTATTAGCCCCTAATTATATTATACCAACAATATTACTTAATTAGCACTTTGATTAGGAGGATGATACTTTTAAAATCTTGACGATTCTAAAATTATGGTTTTTTCTTAAATTTTTTCTGTGTATTTTAAGCAAGCAGCGATAATATTTTCAAAAAAACATAATGGAATAAAAGAATTTTTTTTTTGTATAAAGTTGTCAATTAGTAAGAGTGATTGTAAAATTGTGACATTTGATGATTTTTTATTCTTTTTATATTTCATTAATTACAATTGAATCAATGCGTATATATCACGATTTACCAATTTCATTAACCATTTATTTCGTTTCATACAATCAACAGCGAAATTTTCATTCAACTTAACATAGATCCAAAATCAAGATCATTTAACGAGCTATCATTACTTCTTAAACTTTTTGCTTTAGCAAATTCATCATCTAATATTCTGCTTGTATGGTATGCTGATGGATGTTTTTTGTAACATAGCGGGCTTTTTCTGTGATTGGTCGATACATAAAGAAATTGATTGGATAATTTTATAATATGCCGATCATTATTAAAAGCTTTTAATATTGATTTCAAGATAATAAATAAACATAATCTTAGCAATATTTTTTATTTGTAATTGGTAATAAATAATTCAGCAGAAACATTAGGATGAAAACTCTTGCTATAATTACAATGTAATAAGTACACCTGTGGTTTGAGACAGCATAAATATTCTATATCAATTTACGTTGAAACCAATAATCCTTTGAATTTTAATCCCAGGAATACTTGTAAAAATTTCCGTGAACTTATGTATATTAAACTATCACATAATTCTTATCTAATAAATGGATACTAGATATTGAATATTAGATAAATATAGGAATATTAGGTATTAAATATTAAATAACTTATAAATATTGCTCACCATTACAACCAACTCACGATCCAGAAATCATGAAATAGTGTAAGAGTTATATGATAAATGTTTATAAATGTACCTTCTAGTTTCAACAAATACAAAAGAATAATTTAAATTACTAATACTAACCAGATTTTTTTTGCATTAACAATAACTTATTGTAATTCTTTCTACATAGAGCTTTTCCTACTAAATTTAAATGACAATTAATTGTTACTCTATCAGATATAATAGAAGTGCCATTCTTTTCATAATCACATATAACTTCATTGTAACCTTCTAAATTACAGTATTCTACCTTCCTCTTACCTTTTTTTTCCACATTTATTTCGACTTTGCTCATTCATTTTTAAATTAGTTATTGAAAACCTACCTTCGGGGTTTTTTAAAAAGAATACTCTAAAGCTAACTTCTGAATTACCTGCCCTTATTCAAATTATTTTAATAGTTTGCGATTTGAAGTGTGTATTTTGGAATACAATAAATTTTATTATCTGCGTTCTTATTTGTGAGGCTGCGTTATCATTTAAAGTCAGGTGATGGTAAATTTTTATATTAAATAATATGTGACTATGATTTCTAAAATCAACCAATCATATTTAAGCCCGCTATGTTGTTTTTTGTGTGTTTGTGGTGAGTGACTGCTGCTATTACTGCCACTATTAACATCGCTATTGTTGTTAGAATCGATTTTACCTTTATAAATTTCCTTTAATTTATTATTAACGAACCTCCAAAGATCTAGAATAGTTGGTCGTTTTGATGAGTCCACATCTCCATCATTTGCGCATAATCAGCAGGCATATTTGATAACAATGACGATCTCAATCCCTCACATATTTCTGGCTTTAAAAAAGTATTTATATATTTTGAAAGAATATTATAATTCTGTTTATGAATCTTTTTGAAACTATTGCCAATCGTGATCATTTATTTCCATGCATCAATAAGGTTAATTTAGAAGAAGGAACAGTTATCATCAAATACAAAGAAAGATATTCTATAAATCGAAATTTATGGATGGTAGAAATCCAATTTGGAGACAAACAAGCTAAGGGTTTGGTCAAATTCACCCAAGAATATTCTGAAGAAGCACATGGAAAATGTTTTGAACTAGGTTTAGCACCCAAATTATGGGCAGTTAATAACCTTCAACTAGGCTGGAAGATTGTTATCATGGAATATCTGGAAGAATATAAAACACTATATGCTCTTGATTCAAGAATATTTCCTCAAACAGAAAATGCTGTTAGAAATGCTGTAAAATTACTTCATGACTCTGATTATGTACATGGAGATCTTCATGATGAGAACATCATGGCTAAATATGAAAATGGAGAAGTTGATATTAAAATTGACTTGGAAGGGAGGGGAGGGCAAAATATCCTGAAAGTTTAAATCCTACTATTAACTGGCATCCAGATGTTGGTTGGCATAAGTTCATCAAAAAAGAACATGATAAACATTTAATTGATTATATTTATCACAATATAACATATGATGAACCCTCAAAAAAGCAACAGTGTCTCTCAGAATGGATGAATTAACCATGCAAAAATTTTTAATAGAACTAATTTTAGATATTCATATCATTTGACAATTTTTCTTTCTTTATTTATTATGTTATATTCATCTAAGCAGATCTGATAATTTATGTAAATTTCTTTTTTAAGATTTTAAAATATAATAAGTTAAAAGTGATTCATTTGACTAAAAAATTTAATAATATAAAATTAATGGGAAGAAATATATATCAAATTAAAAGAGTACATTTTACATTTGCAGAAAACAATAAAAATTTGTACAATTTAAAATCAAATGATCTTTTTATTTCTGTTAATTCAAAAATGCTAGATAATAAATGAAAATGATTTAAATAAAGCATTTCTATTGTTGTTTGCTCTAAATAAGAATCTTCCATCTATCAATTGTATCATTTTTGTTTTAATACATAACTTAGAGGCTGCATAGATTCCTAAATAGTTTTTGAATTTTATATCAAGTATATAGTTATTTGTAACAAAATTAAAAAAAAACCTACAAAGTGAACATAATATTATAAAATTATATATATATAGGGATAAGTGTATATGAAAAGTAATAAGTATAATGGTTCTAATGAATATGAAAAGGCAATTAGCTTTTTAGAAAAAGGTTGTAATTGTGGTTGTTCTTCAAAAATTCCCAACAATTCCCCTTGGCTAAATTTTTGACCCAATGATCCTTTTATATAAAAAATATAATTTTTATGAAATTATTTTTTAAAACATTTGTTGAGTAATTGACTAAATAACAAAGGAGCTTTCTATAACTCAAAAATACAGTGGATACTATTAGTATTATTACCAACATTATTAAAAGAATACCATAATGACTTTGAAAATTTATTGGAATCAGAAGGGGATTACAGTGGTTGAAGAACCAAATGTTAAAGAAATATATGCACATTCATTAATTCTGTATTTTAAGAATGTATTATCTAATGCACAAAAGTAATGGAGGTTACTGTATATTCCCAAGAAGGAAAATATCAATGAACAAGTTTCTAAAACAATTTTCGGGTAAATGTAATAATAATTATGAATAAGAATACTAGCTGCAACTTTTGATGATGTGACCATACTTGACAATGTATCAAATTTATTAATTGCAGCAAATGAATTTGGTCTTGAGTTGCTTTATAATTATGCAATGAACTATTTTGTAGAGATTAATAAAGACTAGATAAATGATAAGTTACAATTCTACAAATTAGTTTACACCAACCAATTGAAGGAGTATATAGACATTCAGTACTGTACTCTTTTGCATTCCTGTACTGTATGGTCTACAAAAATAGAAATTTTTTTAAAAAAGTCATACACCAACATACAGTACACAGCACCCCCACCAATCAAATGGATTCTGTACTCATAACATTTAATACAGAAATGCTGATTTGCAGATCATACAGTACAGGAATGCAAAAGAGTACAGTACTGAATGTCTACTGACTGCAATTGAAGGAGTATTCTTTAGTAGTAACACAAAATAATTTTTTGATCACGAACTTGCATTCTTATTGGCCAATTTAACGATCTGCAAAGTAAAAATAGTCAATCTACCAACTTTTAAGGAAGATTTTACGAAAACCACAAGGACAACAACGGAATTTTTATTCACAGATCAATCAGCTGAATCTCAAAGATCATTTTCGTATTAGGAAGTAATACCTTTAGAAAAAGTTTTTTATAACAGAAAAAAAATTTCAGCTAACAATAGCCAAAAAACCATTTAAGGAATAAAGAAAATTTGAGATTAATAGTGAATGTTTATCAAAACATCCAGAAATTAATAAAAATGTTAAAAACTGGTCATTACAAAATAAGAGAACTCATACCTTTAATTAGATAGATTCAAAGGTATTTCAAATCAGGCATGCTTTTTCCAGGAATGACCTTCTCATTATTAGATGATCTATCAACATTACCATCAAGAAATCCAAAACTTGACTCAACAAAGGGTTATTTGCTTTTTTCAAAGTTGGTTTGACAGAAAGAATTCACCATATAATTCATTTGAAGTTATACAAATTGAAATTTTTATATTTAAATGTAACTAAAAATGTTTGCCATAAATTATTGTAGCTACCATTTGCCATAAATAATTACAGCAGTTTTCAATTAATATAATTATTGTCATTAGCATTATTAGTCATATTAGTTGTGAGAAAATTTTCTTAAATTATTTGACTGTTGTATTATATGTGAAATTGAAATCTATAATTAAAATTTTGGGGTGGGGTGTTTGGATATGAAATTTTGATTGGCTAATTTGAATTTCACATATGTGAACTGCAAATTCATTTTGGCTACCATAATATGATTGGCTGTCCATAATTCAGATATGATAATTAATATTAATAATATATAAG